AGGTCAACTACACATAGCCGAAATGGTAATTTGTTACATAGCTATTGAAAATGGCTATCTGCAAAATGGGTAAATCAGCTATTTCGAGTGGGCCATGTGAAAAAAAAACTATGTAAACGTTTCCCAGAGGGTAACCAGTCCAGCTATTCTTCTGGGTGTTGAATTCTGCAGCAGACACATTCAAGTGCCGGTCGTTCCAATCCCCGTTCTGATGGCTTTTCCATTCCATTTGCTGGTTCAATATCCCATCATCCAGGGTGAAAAAAACTGGAAATTTCTCCCACCAGTCGCCCCAGTCATCCTTCTGCCATCCACTTTTTGGGGTCATTCGCTTCTTGCGCACGCGGCACGTCAGCACGTCATCTCGGTCTCCTATTCGACGAAACCAGTCCACAACAAAACAACTACAGGGATTCAACTATCTAATATCATGCCTATCAAAACCAATACAACAAATATTGAAGATTGGTTTACTATAGAAGTACTATTGGTTTTTGATATACAATGATAGGATTACTATAGAATACTGAAGTTGAATATAGTTATTACTCTATCATTCCTATCATCAAAAGAAATGAGGACTTCACCGACAATATGGGGTGAATGCAGGAGGTTCAATGGTGTTTCTGGGTGTTAAAACAGGATGTTAAAACAAACAACAATGCAACCACAAAAGATAGAGAACCCATAGATCTTATAGTATGTTATATTGGTGAGTTTGTGGGGACAGAAGACAAACATTGCAACCACAGAATCACTAATGGCAATAATACGCAAAAATGATACATAGTGACATTGAAAATCATGTCAATTTATGAGAAAACATGGGTTATAACATAGTAAGTAGAAGTAGTTAGTGATAAATTACAACAAACCACCAATCAAAAATAGCACTAGACTAGAAAATTAAATACTCATCTATGATATACAATGTATATACTCTGATCATCATGTTGAACCAACACCAGTACACAACTCCAGTTCTTTTGCGGTTCTGTTCTTTGTGCCTGCCGTAATGGCTCTACAACAACGACAACGACAACAACAACAACAACAACAACAACAACAACAACCAACAACCAACAACCAACAACCAACAACCAACAACCAACAAGCAACAAGCAACAAGCAACAAGCAACAACCAACAACAACAACAAAAAAAAACAACAGTACCATAGGCCAAGAAGTATTGCTAGATAGGCTTGTATACATCTGTGTGATTGGGCGAGTATATAATGTCCAATCGCTCAGCAATAAATAAATATAACAATTTAATATAATACACAAATATTCACAATTTGCATAAACGTTGTATCTGCGCACCATCCACGTTGATCTCTGTTTCACGCTCCCTAGCAGCACCTGACCATTTGTAGGCAGATCTGGACCTGGGGCAATTTGGCAGCAATAATAATGGGCAGCAGTTAGACCCAATTCCCATTGTAACTTGGCTTGCAGCTATCATAAGGTTGAATATGGTGTGTCTGAAAATGAACGGGGTGCTTACCAAACGGCAGTTCAATAGAAAAACAATGATTGGCTCTGGGATTTGGGGATTCCAAACTGGGTATGATAAACCCAATGTCACAAACCCCGTTCTGGGTGTGGTTTATATGTCCTTCAACTCTATGGTAAATTTGTGTAAATGTGAAGTGATATGCGGCCTTGGGCTTTGGGCTTACCACATTACAATATTTTAGATCTGAGTTTCTGTCAAAATGGTGGATGCACCATGATGCACCAAAACAATCGCTTAAATGGCAATATACTTTTTTTGGTGAAAACGAAGGAGCAAAAACCAATGGGAAACATTGACACGTAGCCAAGAAACCCCGCCAATTCTTGGACAGCTGTACCGAAGTGGACACAGGCCATAAATGTCCTTGGAAGAATTCTGATAAACTGTTGTTTTCCTGACCCATAGGATCCATGTATGGTATATATAGTAACATTTACCATCAATATACCCCAAATGTTAGCATATATACCATACATGGATCCTATGGGTGAGAGTCGCGGGCGAACTTTCTTTTCCAACAGGACCTGAAAACACGCTCAACACATCAGGCACTGCTCAGGAACACTGATCTACCAGAAATACTGTGGACATGACACGGCAAAGTAATTCGCTCCAAGCTTTGGTTGAATTCATGGCCAAACGTCAAGCTTTCCAGACTGCTTGGAAGTGTCACTTGGTCCAGGTTTTGGTTAAATCCATCGCCCAATGTCAAACTTTGCAGACTACTTGGCAAAGTCACTCGGTCCAGCCTTTGATTGAATCCAAAGCCGAAACTCAAACTTTGCAGGCCGATCGGCAAAGTCACTCGGTCTAAACTCTTGTTGAATTCCCCGCCTAACGTCAAGTTTTTCAGACTGGCGGGAAAGGTCACTCGGTCCAAGCTTTGGTTGAATTCATGGCCAAAGGTCAAGCTTTTCAGACTGCCGGGAAAGGTCGCTTGGTCCAAGTCTTGGTTGAATCCACCACCGAAGGTCAAGCTTTGCAGACTACTTGGCAAAGTCACTCGGTCCAAGCTCTTGTTAAACTCATAGCCAAAGATCAAGCTTTGCAGACTGCTGGGCAATGTCACTCGGTCCAAACTCATGTTGAAATCAATGCCAAAAGTTAAGCTTTTAAGACTGCTTGGGAAAGTCACTGGGTCCAAGCTCTTGTTGAAATCACGGCCAAAGGTAAAGCTTTCCAGACTGCTTGGAAGTGTCACTTGGTCCAAGTTTTGGTTAAATCCATCGCCCAATGTCAAACTTTGCAGACTACTTGGCAAAGTCACTCGGTCCAGCCTTTGTTCGAATCCAAAGCCGAAACTCAAACTTTGCAGGCCGATCGGCAAAGTCACTCGGTCTAAACTCTTGTTGAATTCCCCGCCTAACGTCAAGCTTTTCAGACTGGCGGGAAAGGTCACTTGGTCCAAGCTTTGGTTGAATCTACCACCAAAGGTCAAGCTTTGCAGACTACTTGGCAAAGCCACCCGGTCCAAGCTTTGGTTGAATCCAAAGCCAAAAGTCAAGCTTTGCAGGCCGCTTGGAAGTGTCACTTGGTCCAAGCTTTGGTTGAATCCGCCACCGAAGGTCAAGATTTGCAGACTAATTTGCAAAGCCACTCGGTCAAAACTATTGTTGAAATCACCGCCTAAGGTCAAGCTTTTCAGACTGGCGGGAAAGGTCACTTGGTCCAAGCTTTGGTTGAATCTACCACCAAAGGTCAAGCTTTGCAGACTACTTGGCAAAGCCACTCGGTCCAAGCTTTGGTTGAATCCAAAGCCAAAAGTCAAGCTTTGCAGGCCGCTTGGAAGTGTCACTTGGTCCAAGCTTTGGTTGTATCCACCACCGAAGGTCAACTTTTTCAGACTGCTTGGAAGTGTCACTCGGTCCAAGCTTTGATCGAACCCAAAGCCCAAAGTCAAGCTTTGCAGGTCGCTTGGCAAAGTCACTCGGTCCAAACTCTTGTTGAAATTCATGCCAAAGGTCAGGCTTTTCAAACTGCTTGGAAAAGTCATTCGCTCCAAGTTTTGGTTGAATATGTTGCCAAAGGTCAAACTGTGCAGACTGCTTGGTAAAGTCACAAGGTCCAAGCTTTGGTTGAATTCGTCACCGAAGGTCAAGCTTTGAAGGCTTTGAGGGAGACGGTATAAGTACTCAATGGAGATTTCGCCTGATATCTGCGTCAGGCCTTCTAGTACAAACTTTTCTTCGAAGACGGGGAATCCTTGAACATAGCTCCATGCAGCACCCACATCTGCTGGAAGATAAGTGCAGGACACTGACGCAGGCCCTGCGATGCCTTGTTCTTGCAATGTTTGGTTGAGGATTAAAGGTACAGCATGGTGGTGGAGCATGAGTTTCGACCCTCGCTTTGATGGAAGCTGCTCCAAAACCATCCTGCGCACTTCTGAGCCCAGGGTAGAACCACTGAGACTCAACATGCAACCTTCACCATTCAGGCATCTCACATCAAGGTGGATCATTTCAGAACCACCAGTTGGTAGCAGATAGCCAGAGGAAGCCTCTTTGGGCATCTGAAAACCCTTAGCACTTGACAAGCCACAGGGCTGGGTTTTGGTCACGCATGACAATGCTGAGCAAAAAAAACACCTTTTCACATGGCCCCTTCTATGGTTCCTATATTCTCCATCGAATAGTTGCCTACGTTTGGGCGATTTGGGGGAGAAGCCTAGGCTCGAAAGATGCAATAAGTAAAACACATCAGAATGTTGCTGTTTGAAAACTCCCCACTGCAATTGATCGGCAGCTCCGGGAGAATATGAATACCATACTGCAGTAATTTGGGGAACTCACCTATCGAAATTTGATGGGAAGGTCTGAGGCAACAAGAATGGGGAGAACAAAGAAGTAGCATTGGTTGAGCAAACCACCACAAAGTTATACAAAGTATTGTGTTTTGCCAACAGCAGGAGTTTGACATCCAACTGTGAATCCGCATATGTGAGGAGGGAGGTCTTGAGCCGTTCCCAAAAGCTTCAGGACAAATCGTAACCATTTTCTATCGGCACATGCGCGGTCACACTGTACTCATTTTGTACATGAATCAATCAATCTTTCTGGGGCGCAAAAGAGGGCGCAAATGTCATGGACATTTGCGCCGAGGGCAAACAGTGCTACCGGAGCTACCATTGAGGATATAACCCATCATGCCATAGAATGGCCACCTGGTCAAGTATTGGAGCGATATATTCTGGAGTCATTTAATTCATGGAGTGTATGTAAGAGGGGAAATGACATTAACAGTGATGCATTTTTTTGGGGAAAAAAAGGCATCTCCATCCCCTCTCTGGGTTCATGTTCAACCCCAAAGCTAGTATTTAAAGATGTGTTCCTATGTGGTTTAAGTGTTCCCCAAATATCCATATAGCAAGTGTTTAGTCATACATATAGGTCATGTAGGCCAGGTCTTTAGTTGTTTCCAAAGCTGGATCCAGATTTTCTACGGCCAATCACATCCTCAGTTCACCGCCGCTGGTTTTCATCACGCGCTCTCTTCATCCGAGTCCTTCATTTTGTCATATTCCGAGCGCGGTGCGAAGCACGAGGCCAGGCGAAGGGGAAAGGCAGTGGTGAAAATGATGCTCAAGAGTCCTCAGTGAAATTAAATCTCCAATCAAATGGAGGGTTCGAATGGTTTCTATTACCTAGGAATATCATCAAACTAGATGGTGGGATTTGACACAAATCTGTTAGACCATCTACTGGCCTCTATGTCTGTGGTCAGCATACCCCCACCTCCAGGCATGTAAGAGTCCATGTCGCAGTCCACGTCGCAGTCCACGTAAGAGATCATGTGAAAGACATGGCCCATAACAAGCCAAAATAAACCCATAATTGAAGCCCATCATGGCCTACTTACCCACGAACCGTTCAGAAACCTTTACATGGGTTGTTACGTGAGTTCTTACGTGAATTCTTACGTAGGTTTTTCATGCCTTTTTCAGGTGGGAATACCCCTGAACCGTTCATTCTCCGTTCTGAACCGCTCTGAACCGTTCAGAAACCTTTACATGGGTTGTTACGTGAGTTCTTACGTGAGTTCTTACGTGAGTTCTTACGTGAGTTCTTACGTAGGTTTTTCATGCCTTTTTCAGGGGGGAATACCCCTGAACCGTTCATTCTCCGTTCTGAACCGTTCTGAACCGTTCAGGGGGGAGGTAAAAACAGCCAAAAACCACGTAAGAAACCACGTAAGAAACCACGTAAGAAACCAGGCCAAAAAAACAGTCCTTGGAAGGGGTTGGACAGGTTAGGTTCTCTCCCAGTGTGTCACGGGCTAAACCAGTGGCCACTGACCACGTGCGCCTTGCCATAGCCATAACTAGGCTCACAGTCACCCATTTTCATGAGCCACACCACTCACATGGGCTTATGAGTGAACATCGACTGACAATACAACGCCACATACATACAATACAAAGATTGTTCAAAGGCCCATTATTTACATGACTTCTTACGTCAACTCTTACGTAGAAAAGACCCATCTCTTACATCCACCTCTGGGAGACGTCAGAAACCAGCCAATAAAGAGGCTAATGGCAGCTCTAACAAATCTGAGAATAATCTGAGAATAGTTCAACATGGAAATGTGTTCCGAAAGAAGCAGCTGGCTTACTGCTCACATGTTCAATCCTTCTGCGTCACTGGGACTCGTTCAGCAACCGCCTACGATCCTGAAGCTATGCAAAAAAACAAAACCTTTCATATAACTTTTAGAACTGGACTTGCAAGACATCCCACAATTTGGCATGATGGACAGCCCAACAATCGTGATGTGGGTGCCAGTCGTAAACCTATAGGAGAGGTTGGTTGTTGTGAACCACGGATGGCAGAGCGAATCCACTGATGGACCGAAAGGTGGTTGGAGTTGTGTTTTTTGGAGTGGCTGACCTCAGCACAACTGCTGGGTGTAGTGTGGTGTAGTGCAGTTGTAGCTGTAGCGTAGTGGAGTTGTAGTTGTAGTGTAGTGAAATTAGTGTAGTGTAGGTGTAGTTGCAGTTGCAGTTGTGGTTGTGGTGTGGTGTAATTAGTGTAGTCTAGTGTAGTGTACCGTAGTAATGTGCACTGTAGTGTGATATATATATATATATATAGTGTGGTGTAGTCTAGTGTAGTGTAGTGTAGTGTAAAGTACTGTGGCTGTAGTTGTAGAGTAGTGTAATTAGTGTAGTGCAGCGTAGTGCAGTCTAGTGTAGCCTAGCGTAATGTATTGTAATGTGGTGGTAGTTGCAGTTGCAGTTGCAGCTGCAGATGCAGTTGTAGTTGTAGTGTGATGTGATATAATTAGTGTAGTGTGGTGTAGTGTTGTTTTGTGTTATTAGTGTCTCATGAGGTAGCGTCCATCATCTTTCCATATCTCTCCTATTGAAAAAATGATCATAAATTAGGTCATATCCTAGCTAGGTCCTAGCAACATTTTCCAACCATCGAGTCATTATGAGTCATTTTCAGGTCTCCCCATCTTTGATCCCCACCCTGCAGATCACCCTCGGATCGGTGACCGGCACCGGTGAACATGCAACAAGTAAAGATATCGAAAAACCATTGACACCACGATAAAAAATCCAAGAGTCCAGTCACTTCCGTTGGCCAGCCGAGCTTGATCGAAATGCCTTCGGTTTGCTAGGAGACCAAACAAATACACATGGAATTGGGTAATCCTATACTAATGTAGTGAAATTATGTCAAATCACCTTTTCATCCGGTTTGAGAATGTTTGGGGATTACTGTAGTGGAGACCGAAAAAATCAAAACACCGTGAATAACAATGAACCTATGAACCATCCAATGGTCAATCCCAAACAATCATTAACAACTGGGGGGGGGCATCAAACAACAAAAGGCCCCCATCTTTCTCATAATTCGAATGACGCATTGAAATATTGGGGTAGATATCGATACACCCCAAAAGGCCCTCAGAAAATGCCGGAATAGCCAAAAACATGAGAAAAAGTAAAATCTGTGTTCCACCTCTCCCTATTTTTGCTGGTTGATTACAAAAAGTCTTCAACAATTACACTCCAAACAGCTTATGAGTTTTGGGTTTGGTCTATTTCGACCCAAACAACTGTCAGAGGCTGCTGCTGCAGCACTATTTTGCCTCACTTTCCCAAGTACAATTGCTATTTTAAACCATCTTGGGTATCAAATATTACCCATTATATATATATATACACACACCATAATTTATATGTTATATTATATACCCTATACTAGCATTATATACAGTCGTTAATATCTACAGTATCTTATATATACTTTACTAAATCATCAAAATATATTAATTCTATTATTCATTCTATCCATTCTATTCATTGAAACCTCGCGTGTTGCCGGGCCACTGGTGCCGATGCCAAAGACGATGGCATGGAACAGGATCCCGTCGAAGATGGCCACTGCGGCGAAGCGACAGGTGCCGGGACATGTGGCGAGGACGTAGATCCCGAAGGCCACCTGGAAGAGGCTCTGGAAGGCTCCTGCCAGATCAACGGCCATGCAACAGGAACCATTTGTTGGAGGTACCTACCATATACAATGCTTAGTTGAAGGCCTATGTAAGGGAATACTGTAGCTGGAGCACACAGAGGTGTATCGGGCTCACCCTTCCAATCAATCCCAAAACCAGGTGCCTGAGCAGGTAGAGGAGGTTGTTGAAGTAGTAAATCCCAATCAGCAGCGAGGCGACACACAGCGCCGGTTTTGCAATGACCGCTTTGGTCAGGCTGCAACCATTAGGCTCGCCACAGGAGCGTATGCTACAAAAAAAAAGGGGCCCCTATCAGAGCCGAGATGCGGTGTCGCATCCACATGATGTCATCACCTGACAAGCGCGGCTGGGATCAGTTGCACCAGCACAAAAAGGACTCAGGTGATGACCTACTGTGCTATCTTTACAAGTGCTCTGATGGGCCAAAACGTTCGTACCGATCTGAACATGAGGTGAGCCAGCACTGATTGCGAGAAACTGCAAATCATGAACAGCATGAGCACCAGCAATGATTGCGAGATCATGCAATTGGTCTTGATGATATAAATCTCCAGCTATGATTGCGAGCGCATGCTCAGAGAAATCATCAAAAACACCATGTGCCGTCAGTGGGACAGCGGTATCTCCAAGTGCATCATCCACTTGCTGGATCGCAGTCTTTCCGGACTTTTTGTTGCGCTTCGCCGCCACAAAGTTGGGGTCATAGGAAACTGCCCAATGGCGGGTCTTCAAAAAACTTCAGCAAACCAATTCGGCTATCGCCCCTCTTCTTAGTGAAGGCGTCGGCCAAATCGTAATCCGATGCAACCCATCTCAAATCACAGTTGACGCGTTTGAGGTTGTCACGCAACTGGAAGGCTTGAAGCGCAGCTCGCATGTTTGAAAGTCCAAGCAGTGGGCTCTCGTTGACTTCCACGGCGTCATAGCCACCACGAGAGTCAGTGCAAAGTATGCCAGCGACCAAAGTGGCTTGGCTTTCAGCTTCAGCTACAAGGTCGGCTCGACGTTCAGGTCGGTGCAAACCAGCTCCATGAAGTTCACTCCACAGCATTCTGATTCTGAAGTTTTGGTCTTCAGCTTCCAAGATACTTTGAACCTCGGCATCGTTGCTACCGATGGCTTTCCTTTTTAATTTCCAACTTCTCCAAGCAAGCAGATTCATGAGAATGACTCTTCCGCTTTGAACATCAGGTCCAGCAGCTAAAGTCAAAAGTCCACCAGTTGAATCGCCTTGAGGTCGATTGGAGTGGGATTGATCACCCATGGAAACGAAAAAAACAACATCGGTCCATTTCTTGGTGCCGGGCAACTTGAAAAACTCCAAGTTGTGCGGGTCCGCACGAACTTCAGAAACCATTTGTTGGATCTCTTTGGCAGTCTCTATGGTTCCACTGGTCACCACTTCGGTGAGGAGCAAGTTGCAACGGGCACATAGTTGAGGTTGGGTCTGTATGGCCAACCATTGCAAAGCACCAAGTGTGGTTCTGCAGGCAGCTATTTCAGGCTTGGAAAGTGGGCCTTGTTGGCTCCATCGCTCAGGTGAAAGAGCGACATCCATCACAGACTCGATGTAGGCATCTTGGCTAACTCGAATGGAAAACTCGCCATTCGGTTGTTTCAGGGTCTGGATGTCAGTTCCAGCATGTCTGTAGCTACCTTGCTTGGAGGTTCCCCATCTATAGGCTGACAGAACTTTGCTGAAAATTTCCTGCCATTCTGCACTGTGGGGGTCGCCAATGACATGAAAATCATCGACGTGGCCACCGATTGCACCAAGCAATCTTGGAAACTTGCCGGTCTCATCCTTCAGCTCGGCTGAAAACCATCCCCATAAACATCTTTCACCAAGGATTGGCACAGCTCCAAGTCCAACAAGCTTCTTGTGCAAATCCAACCAAAGTCCACGTGGGGCTGTTGTTGAACCATAAATGTTGCGAAGAACTCGCATGATGCCAGTGTCTGTAAGTCCAAGTGCAGCACGTAGTTCTGCCACGCCAGTTGTCCAAATCTCTTGGTCAGCTTCAGTAGGTTGGGTCTGCAAAAACGCAGTTGCTAAATCCAAACCATGAATGGGCCACTGGTGGTGTGTGGCAAGGAGGTAAAGTAAATTTCTACCAACCATGCTTTGCACAGGAGCTGCAGTTTTAAACTGGCGGTCAAGGAGTGAAGGATGTTGAAATCCCAGCAACACTATTCGAGCTTTTGCCTTTTTGGATCCATCGCTGGTGAGGACGGTGCGAGGATCATCCTTGGCTTCTTTTCTTGCTGTTTCAATCTCATCAGGAGGAGTTGGTTTCCATGTGAGCACCCATTTGGAGCGGCTGATTCGCCCAGTGTCCACTGCTCTCCTGATCTCTTCATCATTGAGGCATTTTCGGACAGCTTGGTTTTTGAGAAAGCTGTCAACTTCTTTGGCTTTGGCTCGATTGAAGAGCTCACGGTGCTCCGCAGTCAGCTTGGTGAGTTGAACCTCAGCGCTACCCATCTTTTTGGTCATGTAAAGCACAGGGTTGCGCTCAAGCTGTTTCCGTTGACGGTGGGATTCAACGGAGACGTCAAAGGAAATCTGAAAGGCTTCCTCAGTCTCTTGCAGAGCAGCAAAAACATCAAACTCTTGAGCTTCTTGGGCAGCATCATGTTCAAGTTGTTCGACCCATTTGAGGTCGTAATTCGGCCCTCGAAGTCTCTTGGCCTCAGTTTCATCAGGATGTGGCACTGGAGGAGGTTCACGAACAGGAGATTCAGGCTCATAGTCAGTGGGAGCATCATCGCCATAGTCATTGACTGGGATTGGTACATCCTCAGCTGGTAAGTCCAGACCAGCAGGTTTGGCAGAGGATGAGCTCTGTGCACTTCCAAATCCAGGGAGAGGTGCAGAGCGTGGTTCGCCAAGTCCAAGTGGCGTAGAACGGTGAACCGTTCTCCAGTCTTCAGGCTTCAGCTCCTTTTTGCCCCAAATCCGCAGGTTTGGAACAGCCACAGTAGAGCCATCAGGTTGAGGAGGTAGTTGTTGAAACTCAGGCTCCTCAGGGCCAGGAATCTCGTCCGTGATATCCACAAACTCACGATTGGGCACCAAGTCTGAAAGAGATTTCATTTTGGTGACATCTTCCTTGCTGTGAACATCATGGTGAAAACGTTCAACAGGCGTCACAGGTCTGACGCTATGAACACTGCATTTGAAAAGTTTCCCATGAAGAAGCACCCAAACGATGTGTCTTCTGGGATCATCTTTGTCTTGGGTCGGCAGCAGCTCTGTGAAAACAACTCTGCCAGGACCAATCCAACCAGGTCGACTGGTTCTTTTCATTCCACCTCTTGGGCCTTTGTAGGCATCGCTAGGAAGAACTTTGCGCCAAATCTTCACCAGGTCGGCGATTTGGAACTGTCGCAAGGGCTGTCTGGCCTTGCTGTTGCCAAGTCTGGTGAGGATGCGCTGAGCTCTGGTTCTTGTTGCAACATCTTCAGCACGTTGGCGGGCAGCCACCATAGAAGCAAAAGTAGCACGATCACCAAGCTGGGCAAAGAGACGGCGATCTTCTTCGCTGATGGTGTAAGCTCGGCCAAATGCCCATTGATGTGAGCTGTAACCACTCACAAACTCTGTTGAGTTCAGTGCTGAAGCAGTCAAGGCCAAAGTGACTGAAGGATCTTGGGCAAAGTTGTCCATGTGGATCGCTGTAGCCGTGTTCTTGAAATCTTTCATAGCGCTTTCGACCAAACCATGAGCCCAAGGTTCTTTCTCGGCAGGCATGCTGAGCTCAATGTTTTGATCACGGCAAAAATCAGCGAACTCTTTTGCAACAAAACCCATCCCATTGTCAGGTATGACCAAGTGCGGCTTTGGAAAAGTTGCAAGCCAGCTTCTAGAAAAAGCTTCGATCACCTGAGTTGCGCTTTCGGTTTTCAGCGCAGTGATGCCATAGGGCTCCATGAGGGGGACTGCCATTCGAAGTCGAGTGGCGTAGTCAATCATCAAAAGAAACTTCACTTTCTTGTTCAAACCAGGCACGACCCATTCGGAAGCGTCAAGTCCAAGGGCTTCCCAAGGTCCAAATTGAGCATGTGTTGCAGCTGGAGGCACATTGCCACTTGATGCACCACCAGGACGCAAGCTTTCACAAATTGGACAGGTGAATTCTTGAGCCATCTTCACCTTCCAAGATTCCAAGTTGGCATCTTTGACAATTCGCGTCAGGTTTCTTGTTGAGCAATGTCCTGATGATTTGTGGAAGTGCATCAGCTTGGCCTTCCAACGTTCACGTTCAGCTTCATTGGGAGGCTCTGCAACAGCTTGTGGCAAAGGTTGAGCCTCAATTTCTTTGTAAACCTCATCATCTTCAGGAGCGGCATAGAGGTCAAAGTCCTCCACCTCGTTCACCTCATGGAAGTTCATACGGCGCAGCTGTTGTGTTGAAACAGTCTGCTTGGCCCAAAACCGGGCAAAAGATTGGACCATCTTCCAAGGGTAGTAGGCGGATTTTTGAGTCTCACGACCTTCAATCCGTCCATGACTATGTCCACCATGACAAACTTTGCAACGATATTCACTGTGGAAGTGCTCGTCGTTGGTCTTGACAAGCCATTTCTTCCGCAGGAAGTCTTGGTTCTCATCCACCATGCCGTATCGGCATCCATCTATTCTACAATCAAGCCATTCTTGACCATGTTGTCGAAGTAGAGCTTGAATTGCAAGAAGAGGCTTCTGGCTCCACCCATAGCATGGATAGGGCCATTCAAAGTAGATCAACAGGTCAGGATCTTCTTGAAGAGCTTCTGCAATGAAGTCATGAGCTTGCCAAAGAAGACGGCGTTCTCGACGACGATGATCTTCCAAGATTTGTTGCCTTTCGGGGCCAGCATAGTTGAGAGCTGTCCAGCTGCACCAATAGGTGCAAGGCAAACTCCACCAAAGTCGGCGAGGTCGATGACGACGACGTAGAGCTCGAAGGTGTTCCCAAGTGTCCTTCTTGTAGAGGTCGTAGCCAGCTTCCAAGTTGATGCGTCGTGGATGAAGTCCTTGACGTTGAGCAGCATCAGAAAGCCAAGAGTGAGGAGTGCATGCTATTTCCCATAGGCCATCTCGATCATCCAAGGAAAACGAAGTCAAAGTCGAAGTCGCCATAGCCACCATTGTAGTCGCGAAGAGCATCACCTTGGCAGCCATCTTGTGGGTCATCGACGAAGGCTTGTAGAGCTTGTCCTTGAAGTCGGTCTCAACGCTGTTGACATTCTTTGTGACGCAGTCATTCTTGGAGGCGAAGTCATACACAGTGACGTTGGCATTCTTTGGGACCTGGGCATTCTGATCAACGTTGGCATACTGTGTCACC